GTACCAAAGCCACCAGTTCCATAACCTTAATACACGCACAAAAAACATAAGAGTAGACAACCCCAGAAAAACCTTGACAACGAAAGAAAAATACTTACAAACTTGCATATAATAGAAAACAAAATCCATTCTCTCAGCAAGAGATATGTACTAAGAACCATAAACAACCTGAACAACAGAGCTAAGCTGACCCTAAAAAATCCTTGATATCACAGAGGGCACATACTCACCAGGAATCACATTAAAAAAGTTTCTTTCCCACCAGCCAAACTTCTACACTGTTTCCCTTTTTATTTATTTTTTATTTTTTTATTATTGACTGATAGAGTGGCAGCATGCTGATATCTAGGAGCATACTGCCACTTATCCCCACTCTACTTACGTTTACTACTATCTAAAACTCCCGTTAAAAAAAATAAACCGTTAGTCTCACAATAGTCTTCGTAAGAATAAGTTTAGCAAAAAGATGATTGCGTTTGCGAATATCCACATGTCAGGTGTTTTTTCAGGACTACATGGTTTGAATATAACGTTGGTGTATTTTATATTTTTATACTGAGTTTTAAACAAAGTTTTAATTTTGACCAATTATTTCTACATTACTAATTAAAATGACTCGTACGTCTATGAGATATATAAAAATAATTATTTTATTAGAAAATACAACACAGTACATGTAAGAGACAGGAAACTCACCAATTAGGAGGGTGTGACATAAAAGTAATAGTTCTTTTATGACATATGAGTTGTTGTTCCAACATTACCAAGGATATATTGACCATTGTTAAATTCTTGTAGTAAATACTATAAAGACAAAAATATTTGCCACTATTTAAGTTTATGAAATGCTTTGAAAATTGTCGTACTGAAAAAACTGTCACCGTTCACCTGTCCCGATTTGGGAGAGGGTATGGAGGAGGCAAAATGATCTCTTTAATTTACATTTCTTAGTTATACATATAAATGTGTATCCATTCTTTAGATTTTGAGACAAAGTATCTTTTTGCATTTTATATAGATACGTTTAGATAACAACAACTATGAATATTGACAATAAAACATTGGGTCCAAAACATTAGAAATAAAAAATTAAGTCTACTGATTGAGATTTATATAAAACACTTACAGAGGAACAAACCAACCAACCTTTAATTAATATACAAATGCAAATCAAAATATTCTTCTTGTCTCATTTCTTATGCCCTATAAAAGTATCGGATCTTGTGACTATCTATCCATCTTTTACCATTTTTTTCACGCCTTTTAATCTTCTGCTACCTCCTAATCTGTTGCACGGCTTGTCTCATGTTAATTAAACTTCCGTTCACTTTTATGCCGACTGTCTCGTTTACCAAAGCTTCTTGTATGATTTCTTCAGAATAAGCATTAAACAATAACGGCGACAGTATGCAACCTTGCCTGACCCCTCTCCTTATCTCCACTTCTTCTGACACTTCTCTTCCAATTTTCACATTGTATCGTTGGCTGTAGTATAAATTTGATATCAATGTTACAACCCTTACATCTAGATTCTTGTTTTTGAGTACTTCTATAAGTCGGTCATGTTTTACTTTATCGAATGCCTTGTTGTAGTCTATAAAGCATACATAAAGATCTCGATTAACATCCAAACATCTTTGGATCAGCGCGTTAAAAGAAAATAGTGACTCTCTTTGTGCCTACTCCATTCCGAATCCTACCATAATATATCTATTAAAAGTTCTTATAAAGTTTTTAAAAATTTTTGTTAATAAAGAATATTTTTTACAAAGACATTTTTAAGTAATCGTTCTATATCTCGCTAACGTGAGGAGCTATTAGTGATTTGATTAGGCAACCGATACTCTAACGAAAACAGAAGTCACAACATATTAACTTTTTTTTTCTATCTTCTTTAGCTTTGGTCATACCCTGCAAAACATACCAATTTGGGCCACCCTATGCTTATTATTTATTATAAGTACTCCCCCATGTATAGATAGATTATAATATAATGTCAATGTAATTGTATAAGCATATTGAGTATCTAAATATGTTTAATATAAGTAAGGTATGTTTGCATAAATATATTTTATCATACATGAAAATGTGTTCGTGTTTATCTTTGATTAATTATATTTACGAAATTCAAATAATATCCTGTTGCGGATTTTGGTAATATGTTATAAAGATTAGATTAGAAAGGTGAAAATCCTACTTATCTAATTTTCATAAATATATTTATAAATTTAACAATTTTTGACAGCATAAAATTTGAAGTGTCTTCTCCTTTTCATTTTATTTTACATTATAAATCATTCAGAGAATATCAGCATCAATAAAAATTACCTTGGTAGATCTTTTGAAATTAGAAATTGTTTGCTACCAGTGGCGTAGTAACACTTAAATAAATAATATCTGTATTTATCCAGACCCAAAAAATGTAAATCCAAAAAACGTTGGAAGCCTTGACAGAATGCTAAATTGACTACCGGTATAGATAGGGGCACCATATCACCGAAACTATTCACTTTGCTTTTGGATAATATTCGTAAAAGGCCAAAACTGACCGACAAGAGCATAAACATAAGTGGAGAAAAGCTTAGCCACTTGAGGTGTGCAGATGATATTATGCTAACAGCTGATAGGATAGATGAGGCCAAAGAACATATTTAATCACCTCTACCTTTCCTCGCTAGGAGAGGGATATTAAAAATAAATATATTTTAAACTGAAATGATAACAAATCTTGTAGTCAGCGAATATTATATACGTAGGAGTTGGATCCATAGACCAACTTGTAAGACTATAAATACCTAGGTCACGTGATTTGCATAGGAAAAGAACTAAACTGTTAAGCCTTTCCGTCGTAAAGACTAACTTGGGCAGCCTACGGAAAATTGAACATAATTTTCAAACAGTTCGACATACTAATATGTCTTAAAAGAAAAACCTTTAATCCGTATGTTTTCGTATGTTTTGTCTTGACTCACGAAGCTGAAATGTTGACTATTATAAGTGAACAAGATCTGTGTGGCCCAAAGGTCGATGGAGCGTGCTGTATTGGGCGATTCACTGCAAGAGAAGATTCTAAACTGCCAGTTACGACGAAGATTAGGAGAGGCTGATGCTGTAGAGAGAATGACAACACTGAAGTGGAACTGGGCAGGTTACTTGGTTCGAATGAGAGATAACAGGTGGACAAAGCAAATCCTGAAATGGTGAATAAGAGATGATGCCTACCGAAGTAAAGGTCGTCCACCAACACGTTTCACTGACTATCTTAAACGTTGCCATAGAAATTGCTTGCAACAGTCACAAGATCGAAACAGATGAGAAATTATGAGGAAGATCTGTGTTCAGTAGTGGAGAAAGGAAGATTTAATTATGATGATGATGATAAATCATTAAAAAATTTGTACTTCATAGTAGATCTACAGGTTACTGATGATTGTCCATCATAAAAGAAAAACTACCAATTTGTTGGACAATATTTGCGCATGATATACTTGTTATCGACCCTTCTATTTATAACTTGACGTGATCATGTGCAAATTGGAAAATATATAAGCAGGCATTGTTTGCTTCTACGCCCATTTTGTATACTTTCCTTTTCCAGCCTTTAACCCTTTCTTTACCAGTGACGTATATATACGGTTTAGGGAAAAGTGCCACTGTTCCCAGTGACGTATATATACGTTCTCGAGTGAGATAATAATTTCTGGATTTGTGAAATGGCGTACTTTGGTTGTAGCTGAAGCATTGTCTTCGACGAAAGAATGGTTCAAAATATTAGGCATATTCATGATGTCCAGTAACGCTGTAGGTTTTGTATCGGTCCAATCCAAGAGTAGAGGGTTGCGGTGGGTGTATCTAGCGATAACACTAATATTAGCTATCGTGCTGATATCTCATGCATACGATGATTTGAAGAATAGAAAAAAAGTGGTACGAAGGACTAATGAGATACTAGAATACAGTTATATCCATTATTATGCCCCTCATTATCAAGAGAATGTCGATAATTTTCAAAGAAGGCAGAGATGTTGCGGTTACAATGGTACAGACGATATTTCCGTGCAAACAGAAACCGGTCTAGTATCGAGTTGTTGTAGACCTAAGTATACAATCTGCACAAAAGAAAACGCATTTATACACGGATGTATTACTAAAGTAGAGTACTCCTTAAAACTCTTAATTATGTGCTCTGTAATGGGAATTGTCGCGGCTCTTTGTCATTTATCAATTATAATATGTATGGTATACGCAGGTGTAAAGCATCTGTTGGAAGCTCACCATAGGAATACACTTTTTGCTGGTAGAGTTCAACGAAGTGAATCTCGCCTTCGTGTAAATCACGTCGATAGAGTTAGCAGCACTAATTTTCGAGCAAATGACGAAGATTCAGGTTAGAAGAGGTACGTACAAGGTGAAATTGGTAGTTAGGAAAGACTTCCGCATTTAATAAAATTGAACCTAAAGCTTCTTCTTCATCAGACGAAGTCATTATGTATTTGTAAGCTACGAATAAACGACTAAAAATACAATTTGTTCACATTTGTATCGCGAACAGTCGCGTTGGGTTTCGCGCCAATGTGGGTAAGCCTTGTCCTCTACCGCTCCGCCTGCGAATTTTCCGCAACGGAAAATTCGCGTCTTAAAAGTTTCGCGTCTTAAAAGTTTCGCGTTGGTGTGGGGAATCCTTTAAACAACCACTGTATAATGACAAATAATTAGCGACGGGTCAACGGGCGGAGGTTCGTGGAAAGTCGACGGCGCGCCGTGTTGTCATTTCTAGTTTGTAGATTTCATTTAAAACTTAACACACTGTATCATCTTTACATATTAGAAATGAAAATCCAGATGTTAAATTTTTCAGAAAATTTTTAACCACATTCATAATTATAAACCAATAATTTGTAAACTTTTCACCGATTCTAAACCAGACTGACATACAAGAAAACATTTTATATGCAATCACTTAGTTTAAAGACTTATTTAATACATCATTTGTTTTTTAGCCGACCTGATACATCATTTTCTTGGTTTAGAAACCCCTTGAAAGCTTTCAAGCATGTCGTCTGTAAATTATATAAATGGAAGTTAATAAAAGCAGGGTGCTTTCTGGTAATTGTGTTGTTGGTGGTAGCTGCTATTTATGCTTTTCCTGGCTATACGGTTAAGAGAATTCTTGGAGCCTAAGTTTTATTTATTTATTAAGTTCACTAATATATTTATAGTGTCACGTTTATACTTTTATATTCTTTAAATTAATTTTAATTGTATTTTTATACTTTTAAATATATATTTTTTGTATTTCAAATGTTTATATTAAAATTTATTTTCATTTCACAAATTTGGGTTCCGAGATATATAGTGAAAAACAAAAATGCAGGAAGTTTGAAAGAAGCAAAGAGAATTCCAAAGCAAGGGTATCAGCAATGGCGGGACAAGTTTATTATTTAAGGGGACAGTCTCATGCGGAACTTTCAAAAAATCAATTTTAATTTTTTTTATAAATCGCTTCCATTTACATTCAAAAACTCCCTCCTAAAATTTTAAAAAGAAATTCCCACTAGAAGATAAGTTATAGTTATTTTATTAACGTCATCTACGCACGTATGAAAACCGGTTTCTCTCCGCGCGGCGAGCGCGAGGCTCCAGCTGTTCTTGCTTTTGTATATATGTTGTATATACGTTGGGTATGTATTAGTGATTCATTTTTATATAGTATGTATATCAGTATAACGTTTGGCAGTTACTATACACATTTGGAATTTTAAATCCGGGACATAGGATTTTTTTACAAATACTAAGATTCTCTGCGTTGCAATTAACCCGTGTTTCTTTATAACGTCGCGATGTTTTATAACTAATTTATTTGTTCCACTGGATTTATAGTTCCACTTCTCCTCAGCGGTTTATATAGTAGCGTATATGGCACGCCGACAGTGTTGCTCCGTCTACCGATTTTTCCTGAAAGTCCGGTTTTGTGCAGATAATAAATAATGTTTTATTAACATCAATTTTGTTTGTGTTCATTAGGTATTATTTGAGTTATAAAATTTATACTTAAATACATTTATTAATCCAAATATTGTTTATAATTTCAAATTAAAAAGAGTGTAATATAATTATTTATTTTTAAAATTCCTTTTTATTTTTAATTTTAGAAATCAACTTTTTTTTCAAGTCGTTTTGGCAATAAAACAACCATTTTTTTAGTTAAAATATTATCATATCTACATTTATAAATAAGTACGTTTTCGCTGAATTGACATGCGATCTAGGTGTGTTCCGTTTTTACACTTACACTGGCAGCATCGTGAATTGAGAGTGAGACTCCAGTCAAACAAATGAATTAATTATAAAACATCGCGACGTTGTATTGAAATTTACAGCTTTACAAAGCCATTTACAACAACTGTTGGATGAAGACGGTCCTCAATATTCACCAGGAATGGCCGATTAAACGTGAGTATAAAGTTATCAGCCTTTTATTCACGAAAATTATGTAAAAAAAACTTTAAATGCTTTTTTCTCAAAAGTAACATTTTCAAACTGGTCAGACACTTTTCTCCGAACCTTCTTGACCGATTTTAAAAAACCAAAAATTTTTCGAATATATATACAAAATACTAGATGATAAACCTTTAAAATATTTAAAAACCACCCCCCTTTTATTATATATGGGTAAATACACCGAAAAATATAGTGATTTTTCGACTTTTTTGAAAAAATTCGTATAAACTCTTCAAAATAATACAATTTGCATATTTTAAAGGTTTATCATCTAGTATTGAGTCTCACGAATACAACCCATTTTGAATTTTTTGAATATCTGTTACAGGTGACCCACAAAGTGTCTTACCACCAAAAACGCACTTTTTACTACACGCCATCTACAGGACACCAATGAAGTTAAAATCGCTATTAAAAATTTTTATTATGTACTTCAAGACTTACTTAATCATCTCCAAAAGGAATTATGTTAATAAATATTATAGTTTTTTTTTCTGCTTTAATTTTAAAATGCGTCTTTTTTTTGAATCGCATGAGACTGTCCCCTTAAATTAAACAGATTTTTGTGGAAGATAAACTTTCACTTATAAACTATAAAAGGTCGTTTTAACTGCTTTCCTCTACCTTACTCTGTCCGTTTAGTTTTGTCGACGTTCTTTAGTTACTTATATAATTTTTGTTTAACTACTACATACAAGCTTTAAGACACTTTATTCGTGGAGTGTTTCCGCTCTATTTCTCTTCAATGAGAAAAACACCCACTATTATAATTACCAAAACAAAGAAAGAAAGCACATTTCGAGTAGTACTTTGTAATATGCATAAAACAGCAGGTAAATATACAAACATGAGTTAATAAAAATAGGACACGAAATAACCAATATATCTAATATATATATATATATATATATATATATATATATATATATATATATATATATATATATATAAGAATGGTTCCAAACAGTTCTTCCACTTTTTTATGTACAACTGAAAACTAAATGGAATAATAAAGACATATATGAAATATATGTACATATGTATGAAAGAGTACTTTAAAACATAATTGTATCATTTGAACCACAACATTCCAAGCGTCAGGTACCACCAACGTTCTGCCACCTGCCTGTAAGATGCGTAAAGTGTGTACTGTGTATGAAAAACCTTCTGGATAACTATAAGGGCTGCAGCGTATACAAACAAATACAAAAAGAAAAATTCCCCCAAACGCAGGAAGAAACCAGATGCCCATAGATTAGGTACCAAGAAAACTAACATTTAAACAGTAATTCCTGGTGTTTCTTACGCTCCAAAAACTTAGCCAAACGACTGAAATCAAAACCAACAAATGTCGGTGTCGGTTCAAACCATTTAACTACAATTACCAACCTTGAAAAACTGATGGCAGAACTAATGGAGAGAATGCCACTATGATTTCCAAAATGCACTAATAATATCAATGCTGTGCTCTGAGTGTACCTTCGGTATCAAGAGACTGATGATTATGTCCGCCTACAAGGAGGAGGCCATAAATGAGTATCAAGGGAGGAGATAATCGACTTCTTGTATCGAAATCCTGACATTTGACTTGTTCTAATCTCAAAGAAGAGCTTAGAGGGTCCAAGTTGTGGCTACCAGAGTTTGGACAGTCAGAAGGAGACTGAAGTCAAACAATCTGACATAAAAAAGAGCAGCTACGGATCCGGGAATGGAATTCTCATACGAATGGGATTTACTGGGACAGGACCGACAAACACGAAAAGCAACAGGTAACGCTGCAAAGACTCACGAAGAGTTGTAGCGCCATTGATGATAATGATGAGCTACGGATCCCAAGCTTATTGCAGCCCAGAAGCAAAGGCAATGAGAATTTACTCGCGAACATCTAGATTGCGACGACTATCAATGAAGGTATTATTCTCCGACGAAAGTAGGATCTGCCTACATGGCAACGATAAGAAGTATCGAGTCTGTAGAAGACCAGGAGAGCGATTTGATCAATGTTAGATCTGTATGTATGTATACAAGAAATTGTGTCATATCGAACCGGTTCTTGTATTCTTTTTGAAGGCATTTTCATGGATGGAAAACCGAGTTGGTTTTCGTGCCTGGTGGAGGATGTAGAGTAGGTTTAACGGCGGATCGTTACATTAGAGACATTTGTCGGAACATGCTGTTCCATTAGTGGGATTTATTGGCGATGTCTTTATTTTAATGCAATATAATACACGATACCATACCGCACGTGTCACCACCACCTACTTGTCTGAAATCGGTAAACCTACAATAAAGAGGCGTGCGTTAAGCCCTGACATTAATCTAATAAAGCATGTTAGAGATGAGTTTAAACGAAGCGTCCAGGACAGAAATCATGCACCAAGGAGCTTAATGGAATTGAGATCTGCGCTTAATGATGAATGGGAAGCAATGCCTCAAGAATTTATTAGAAAAGTCATCCGACCCATGCGAAATCGATAGGAAAGTGTAACTAAAAGTAGGAGTGGTAATATCAAATACTGAAAAATAAAGAAATTCATTTTGTAATTGATGGTTTCTCTGTTCATAATATCGCTCTTGCGTTAGTTAAAATACAATCAACAACAATCAATGTGAACATATTACAAGTATATGCACCCACATAAGACTATGAACAAGAAGAAATTGAAAAATTATATCATGATTTAGAAAAAGTATTAGCACCTACAAAGAAACACGATCTCAATATTATCATGGGAGATTTTAATGCAAAGATTGGTAAAGGTGAACAGGAAGATGTCATAGGGAAATATGGTCTGGGAATACGAAATGAAAGAGGAGATATGTTGGCATCTTTTTGCGTAGAAAAGCAATTAGTAATAATGAACACAATTTTCAAACTTCCAAATCGTCGTCTTTACACATGGAAATCACCAGCAGATACACCTGAACGAGTTTTTCGTAACCAAATAGACTTCATATGTATAAATAAGAGATACAGAAATTCAGTAAAAACATATCCAGGGGCAGATGTACCAACAGATCACAATATTTTAGTAGGAAAAATAAGACTGAGATTAAAAAGAGTTGCAAGGACGAATAAGCAAACAGTTACTATTGATAGAGAAACGATGCTAAATGATACTGTAAAACAAGAAATAACTAGTATATTAGAACAAAAGATGAAGTTAACATCAAGCAAAGAAGAAAGTACTGAGGAAAACTGGACGAGAATTAAAGACATCTTAAAGACTGTTCAAGAAACAAAATTGAGTGCGCTAAAAGCAAGAAAAAAACAAGGGTGGATGACAGAAGAAATACTGAGACTTATGGATCAAAGAAGAGAAGTCAGAAATAAAGATAAAAACGAATACAAGAGGATCCACGCAATAATCAGGCAGAAGATAAGACACGCGAAAACACAATTTCATAGTAAAGAATGTAATGAAATTCAACAATATGAAAAGAAACACGATACATTTCATCTGCACAAGAAATTGAAAGAGGTCGCTGGAAACAAATGGAAACAAGTATCCCAAAGTTTAGAAGACAGAAACGGACACAGAATATTAGACATCAATGAAAAGTTAAAAGAATGGGAAAACTACATTTCTGAATTATTTGAAGATGAGAGAGTAGAACACTATACACCGATTGCTATATCAGGTCCATCTATAACAGAAAGTGAGGTAAGACGTTCAATACAAACGGCAAAAAATGGAAAAGCACTTGGCCCGATGAAGTAAGTGCTGAAATACTAAAGTTTTTTGGGAGAAAATGGAATTAAAGCTCTGTGTAATCTCTTTAACAGAATTTAT